AATAGTTAAGTTTATATTTAAATGTAAATATATTTTTTTGTATTAATAAATACCTTTGATATATGCATTTTTTGTAATGTTTAATTAATTTATTTTTCATTTAAATGTCATATTCATATTATTAAATCTTATAAATAATTATATGATATACAATATTTGATGAATTTAAAAATATGTATGAGTGTTAGAAATACTAAATAGTAAAAATTGTAGCAAGTAATAAATTAATAGCGTTTATTTGATTATATGCACGACAGCGCTATATCTATATACAGGGTCGGAAAGTCCCCATGTTTCATCGGCCGTTACGTGAGAGCGATAAAGAAAGTCATAGAAATCCATGCGATAGAGAAAGATGGCTATAATGAAGGCGTCTAATAGTCACCGCCCATTTCGCCCTTCCACAAATAAGATCCACTTCTTATTTGTGGAAAGGCGAAATGGGACGTCACTACCTCGACCAACGATTAGGAAATGCTTGATTTAAATGGTTTCTCACCAAATGGCTGTAATGAGCAGCGGCACCACCGTGCATGAACCACATTTGTCGTCTAGTATTAATGGGTACTTTTTCGAGAGTCCCAGGAAGTTCTTGCGAAGGAATTACAAATAATTTTGACCGTTCAACCTTGCAGGTAGAGCGGAAGATCTCAAAATAAAATTTCCTATAATCCCGCACCAGACGTTAACTGAAAATTCGTATTGGAAGTGATGTTCTTTTATTGTGTGTGGATTTTCTTCGCTCCACACGTGAGAGTTTTTCCAATTAAAAACACCTCTACTGGTAAAAACAGCTTCATCTATAAAGGCAATTCTCCCAAGAAAAGTGTGATGCCTGTTATGCAACTGGAAAAATCGTTCGCAAACGACGAATAGTAATTTCGGGATTTTCTTCTACTCTTTCTAGAATTTGTTTTTCGTTTTGTACCCTTCTTTGAACGTATCTTTCATATCGTGAATTAGATCGAAAGTTTCCAGTTTCTCCTAATCTGGTGAATAAAGAAGCAAATAAAGTATGAGAAAGCTGTCTACGATTTGGATAAAGTTCGTCATTATGTTGGTTTTCTTAGCAGCGCGTCCACTAAAATGTTCTTGACATACATTACTATCATGTCTCTTATTTCATAATTCGTTAATTCATTGTGACGAGGTATTTTCAGAAACAAACTTTTGCAAAATACAAACTTGACAGTGACTTATCGAAATTGTCATGTTGCTATGATGGATTCGTAGTTATTTCCAAAAAATATGAAGTATATTTATAAATATTTTCTGTAATATCTTCATAACCGAGCATAATTTCGACTTTTGATAGGTAAAAATTTTTTGTGTAGAATAAAATTCTCCATCTATTTCTGATAGTTGCGTGTAAAAATTCAAATGTACAAAAAAGTTACAGAAGCATATTTACAAAGAGCTGTAGTAAAATGAATGCTCTGTATGATTTAACCTAATAGAAACATAATCATTGCATACTTCATGAAGGGAAACTAAACAGTAAATTTTGCTCAAATCGGTTACCTAACTGGGTTCTGAGTTAAAGAGGTTTATCTGTTATTGGGATTGGCATGCTAATTAATATACTCCGCGGTCGAAATTATAGCGAGTGACTCAGACATAATATAAAAACACTATTACCGTAATGCGTATAAAATATAAAATGATTTTTTTAACGATTCAATATTATTTATCTTTGTGCCGCTCGCTACGCACATCGATAGAATCTATAATCGTCTATAGATTGAGTTACACTGAACGTCAATCTATATTCTATCTCTGTCTTTTGCACTTGGTAGGGAGTAGGAAAATGCTTTTTTAGTGGGTGTAAACGGACTTGATTTACCCGTCCTGAGAAACGCCATAGCATAAGCGTAGACGAGGGGTCTAATTCCGCGGCTATAATAAATTTATAAATTAAAAAAACAACTGGGACGTTTTAAAATGCTGATAATTAAAATGGATCAAAATGCCGGTTATAGCAAAGCGTAAAAAAATATTAAATGTTATGTTTTATTATCTTTTTTCAATATTTTCTATATCGTGTTGCCTTTTACGCAGACACGCCAATGGATTTTCGTTCCCGGCACGCTTCATCCCTCTTACTAGTCCAAAAGCTAGCGATGAGTCACTGTCTATAATTTCGACCGCGGAGTATAAAACATTTAATATATTACGAAAGTGGTCTGAATTCTAAATACGATTAGTAATTTTGAAAATAAAATGTTTGGCAAAACTTCAATTCTATTCTATTCTATCTATTAAATTTATAAAAAAAGTTCCTATAAACATGTGCCTGGAAAAGCTTCGTTTACAATATGAAGAGTGTTATCAAATTAAAATTCAAGTAGGTATAATTCCAGAGAAAATTAAATTTTATCAAAAATGAAAAAAAAACAGCCATATTCCATGAAGCAAATTAATATTTATTTTAAAAATGTTATTAGTCAAATATAACACTTTCAAAACATTTTGAAACATTTTTTAAACGTTTTAAAAATGTGTGTAAATCATCGTTGACGCCACAGAAAGAAACAACATTTTGACAACATTAAGATCCAGATTTGATAAACACAGGAAAAAATAAAAATAGTTGCTAATGGTAGGTTTTTCACACAACAGTCAGGAACCATCATCAGCAACTGTCCAAGGCATGCGCATTTTGTTAAAAGCGTTCGTACAACAAAATTAGTGAAGTATATATTAAAAGTTTGGTATTCGCAGAACTGACCCACACTGTTAATGGAAATCCCCGTCAAATTGTCTAAAAATTAAATATGTTATAGTTCGAGATGTCCTGATCAAAAATTGTCTCGGGCTCAATACCCAAATATGAAATTTTATCGAGATAAGTGACATTGAAAGTCAGCGTATCCTATCTCGCTTATACGTAGTCTTTTTTAGGCGGTTTCAACTGACCCTAGACAGTTCTGCACTATTTTATTGAGCACTGTGAATCTACGACTCTTGTGTCTCTATCACTGTCTTTATCTGGTGCTAGGCACTAAAGTTTATATATTTGAAGTCTCTATAGAGTGTTTGAAAGCTTGATGTGTTAGGACGAACTTAGGCGGGTAACTTGTGGAGCTATGAGAACTATAAGCTCGTGGCTATTTTTTAGATAGAATATAACTAATATTTTAAAAATATTTAGATCTATTAATTTTATTTTATGCTTATAATAAGATATACAGATATAAGAATATATAAAATTTTTATCGTTGGCCATGTTCCAATACTGGTTACTATTCTGCGGCTGGATCAGGCTGGCGTTTGTCCAAAGGCTATTGCAGCTTTGCGTGTGACTCTGCTGCATGGTCCAGTTTAGTGTGGCACTATTATTGGTATTGAATTTCACATCTCTTTCGTTTTCTCCACTGTGGTGAATCATCGCCTTGTGTGTGGTCTCATGGGTTTCTTGGTAGCGTTTTTCTTCCGTCCAATTCGGACTATATCGAATTCGAAGAATGCCAACAGCATTGGTCTCTGGCTGTGTCGATGGAACGAATGTGGCTGCTCGGAATGGTTTTGGGCGCAACGAATGGAACTTGCCGTGTCGGCTGCTGTAAATTGAGTGATTTGGGGTCGCTTGGAGCATTTTTCGCAGCGACGACAGATACTTTAGAAAGGTCGGTGAATTTTGGTAGTTCCCGTAGCGCGTCGTCGTCTTTGCCTCCGTGGATTGCATCGGCTCTGCCTGGAAAAGTTTGCGCCTGCCCGAGGCGATTTTGGGCACTACGATGGAATTTTTAGAAATTTTAGAAATAGATTCCAGCGCCGTACTCTTTGCGTCTCGTTGCTCGGCTCTGGCAGCAACGGGCTCTACATGGAACGACTTTTGACCACGTCGCAGTTCCAATTGGAAACCTATTTGTAAAACCTATGAATCCACAACAATTATATTTTTTCAAAGTAAAATTTTTGCTTTACAATGATAACATTACTTCTAGTATCATTATTTAAGTTTTTAGATTGTCTATTTCTTCAAATACTTCTATCTTTATTGCAACTAAACTGATTTATCGTGTACGTGAATATTTTTTAAACCATCCATAACTACTGTCTCTTTTATGTTTCTCAAAATTGTAAGTTCTGTACCTGTTTTATCCTTACTACGCCTTTGACTAAATATTCACTAAATATTTACTGCTTTTATTATTATACTAGGACGAATTATATTTTTTATATATTTGGATGGTTTATTTATTTCAAGGTTATCTATTTTTCTTTCCTTGTTGCACCACTTTAATATACTAAATTTGGTTCAACTATTTTACTACTACCTCAATTTGAGTATTTAATTAGAAGATTTAATCAGTCAATTATCATCAACTACATATCATCAATCAATCATCATTAATATAATCAATCATCGTCCTCCTCCTCCTCTATAACGAAAATAACAAAAATAGATCGATTTTCGAATCGTCAATGACTTATTGAAGTTCGCTGTATATGATGTGTATTTTGTTTAGGCAAAACTATTTTTCTAAAAAATGGCATTTGACTAACCCTACCTTACGCAAAAGAATGAGGTATATTTGTATTTTCACAGGTGACAAAATACTCAAATAAATAAAGAAAAACTGCTACAAATAAATAGCTTCAGACTTCTAAATTCCACTATTTCATTAACCGAATGTGATCATTCTTGATTCTAGGCAGAGTACACAAGTATGATACTACATTATCCAAATATCCTTTCACTAAAGAAACGAAAAATCTGATATAGGTAATACGTTCAATTGTTTATAATATTGTAATTCTTCTACTGCTTACTCAATAGTGATACTAAAATTGTTTTTCATCTTCTTTAGGTAACATATAAATCGATATTTCATCTATTGATTATCCCTTGGATAAGATGAAAGCTATTCTTATTTTTTTATCTAAATGATTCATCTAAAATCTAGATAAAATAACTTAAATAACCAGAATTGCACTTTTGCACCATACTATTTATATACATAAAATAAGGCATTAAAATATGTTGTTATTAAAAGGTACCAGAAGAAGGTGACATAGAAGGAAATGTAGAAATGTTTGTTTTACAACCAGCTCACTTGAAAGTGTTATACAAATGCAGAATAACCAGAGATAGGAAAGGAATGGATAGAGGACTATACCCCACTTATTTTCTTCACCTGGAAAAAGATTATGGTAAAAAAGTATTCTTATTAGCAGCTCGAAAAAGAAAAAAAAGTGCCACAAGCAACTATTTGATATCAACAGATCCCACAGATTTGTCGAGAAGTGCAGACTCCTTTGTGGGTAAGTTTTAATTATTATATAGAATTATTTAATAAAGTTATTTTAATTATTTCAATTATCAATTATCAAAAATAATCTTAAACCAACTTTTCGTCGAAAACCGAAATATGATATGTAGGAATCGCCAAACTATTCAGAGAACTACTTAAACACATGGCGAATAGAATAGTAGCAGTTCATGTAATGAAAATAGTGGTATTAATATGAAAGTTATTAAACAATTTAAAATAACACTGAAACAGGTCAATATATCGCTAAAAATAATGGCAATTGCTTTCATCAACAGTAGCAGTCGTCTCGTCAGGAAAATTGCCTTGAAGTTCGGTGACATCACTACATTCAAGGGGGTAGATGTTTTGCAGGGACGAAAGTAGTTCGCCACCAACTGTGTCCACACGAACTAAACGAACAATCCCATCAATTCATATGCAGGCAATCACATTACTTTTCCTCTCTCTGTTTACTTCTAGTTCGTCACATTCTAGATTTTCTTGTACCCACAGAGATAGCGGTTGAAGTAGCCATCCCTCCCACCATCTAGATTCAAACAAATCTTTAGCAGAACAGCCTCGGGATGGTAAGTCTGCTGGGTTCAAATCTCCACGTACATGTCTCCATGCTCCAATAGAAGTTAATGAACGGATCTCTACAATTCGATTACCTAGAAACGGTGCCCATGGCTCTTGTCTTCGTATTCACGAAATAACAGTGGAAGAGTCACTGTAGGAGAAATATTCAATTTCTTTGTCAATGTTTTCTAATATAAACTTTGTTAGACTGGCCCCTATCGTTGCTGCCAGTAGCTCTAACCGAGTTATTGTTACTTTCTTCAAGGGAGCCACTCTGGCTTTGGCGTATAGCAACCCCAGATTCACCGTGTTGCCTTGTTCAACCCTTAAGAAAACTACAGTAGCATAAGCATTTTTACTGGCATCGCAGAAGGTGTGCAGGCTCAAATTTACTGCTTCGCCTGGTCCTGCACAAATCTAACGGGGTATTTCGATTTTCAGCAAGTACGGAAGTCCATCCCAACCTGTTTTCTGCTCCCAGGTCCGCTGTAACAATATATTGGGTATCAAAGTGGTTGGAGATTTGTAGCCAGTGGGGTCAAATATTCTTTGGGCGGTTGATAGGACAAATCTTTTCGTAACAGTCTTGTCCTGGAGAGTAGTAATTTCTTTCAGCCATTCACCATTTACCATTAATACATCTCTCTCTCTCTGTATTCCAGGTTAGACCTAGTACAGCGACATTGATATTAGGAAAACTTAATGTGGACTCCCACCCTCGTAAATCAAATTTTGCCTCGGCCATAAGCATACTTGATTCCAAAATAAACTGATTCATGTCATTCTCAGTGGCTACACTTGTTACAGTTATCTACGTAAAAACTCAAACTCTTCAACAACTTCGAAATTGTTTCTTTGGAATACATTGTCCCACACTGCTTCAGCTTCTTGCCCAGATGATATTGTATTGTTGCCCCAATCAGAAATGGACTGTTATTCACTCCAAATACAACACGGCGATGTCGATACACTTTCCGCTTTCCTTCGGCATCGGTCTATAGAAATTTCAAGAAATCTCTATCAGTTTTATAAACACCAATTTGTAAAAATGCCTTTCGAATATCTGAAATCACTCCAAATCTCTGCTCTCTAAATCGCAATAAAATCGTAGGAATCAATTCTACAAGATTCTCTCCTTCCAAACAGTGATTCAATGATGGCTGGTCTCTGTCCCGTGCCGATGCGTCAAATACAGACCTGATTTTCATAGTTCTTTCAACACTGGTCGATGAGGTAGGTAATGACCTTTAACAGTTTCCTCCTCCAGAGGAACCTCTTCTATGATATCTTCCTGTAACCACTCTTGAAATACACGATCATAAGCTTCAAATAGACAATCATTCTTTAATTTCTTAACGACTGCCTCCAACCTCTTTTCCGCTAAGTGATAATTACTGGGTAACGCATAGTGTCTATCCAACCATGGTAATCTCACTTCATAACGTCCACTTTCATCTGTCGCCAAAGTTTGCAGGAAAAATTCTTTTGCACCCAATGCCATTTCTTCACGAGTCCTCTTCTCCAAAGGTTCAGTGATTCCAAGAACATCTAGTTTCCAAAAATCCGTGATGCAAGATTCCTCTACAAAGAAAGAACGGCCATGGACATACTGGTGTGTGATTCATCTTGCATTTTCCCATAAAGCGTCCAACAAAAAAATGTTTCAGCTATTATCAAACCGCATTTTAATATATGTCTCCTACCCGTATAGAGTCGCCCAGCATAGTCAGCACCAATAAGAAGTTCAATGACACCCGTACCTCTTACATCACTAAGTTGCACATTCAATGCCTTGACTTCTTCCATCTAGGGACCTTCAAACACAAGCGAAACTTCTTTACATACCATGGGCTGGTCCAATACTTCTAAGATACACGAAAAACCTCCCGCACTTAACTTGACATCAAATATTCATATGTTTGTGATTGTTCAACGCCACCAAATAAGCAATGCGTGATTTTTACACGACGTTTCGACCGATAACCTAATTTCTGTGCGGTTGATTTCATGATATATGATCTCTCCGAACCAGTATCTATTAAAGCTCGAACATAATGTGAGTTAAACTGTCCATTCACTCGAACATACAAAGTTTCCAAAAACACATAGCTGCCGGTGTTGTTCGCAAGAGTCTGGTCACTAATCCCACCTCCATTATTCATGTTACCGTTCTGCATCGTTAAGTCACGTTTATGCATGAGTAAATCTGGACAAATTAATGACACGTGCAGTTTACCACAAATCATGCACTTCAAACGTGTACGGCACTTCTTAGCTTGATGTCCTAATTTGAGACACCTATAACACGCCCTCTTATTAAATAAAATGTCGCGTTTGTGTTCTAAGGTGAATTTTTGCGCTTTAAAACAAGCTTCGCTTGCATGTGATCCTTCACAAAACACACATTTGGCAACATCACAGCTGACTAGGGTACTCGCCGTTGCTACAGTTGACTCATTAGGTTTTGCCCTTCTCGGGGTTACTTTCGGAGGTTACCCCTAGGGTTTCAAGCGCCGTCATCTGGGATTCTAACCTGTCATACAGTGTAAAAAGATCCACTTTAGTTTGTGACATGGCATTGTGCAAAATGAGGTTCAGCAGTTCGCGAACATATACCTCTATTTGTAGGTCTTCTCCGCCAAATCATGCCTCTAGCCCCTAAACTACTTTTTCATATTTTTTTCCTATTGCAGGAAAGCTATCTACTAATTGCTAGGCCCTGCTGCCTGCCACTTGCTTGAATTAAATATTCTATCTTATCTTCCAAAGCAATATCGGGATCATCATGTATTTTCCTAAATTGTGCCCAAAATGACAACCAGTCGCGTACCTATATTGCCATCAAATTTTTTAAATTCTATAGTAGGTAGTTTAAATTTACGTCTACCTGTTACGCTGCTAGCCTCTGAAATCACCGATTGCACATCTTCCTCTCTTCTTTGCTGACAATGTGAAGAAACATCATTGTAGTGGATTTTCAGCTCAGTTCATCTCTTTCATCTCTTCATAGTTTTCACATAGTTCCATTTCTGTTAACAACAAACCCTCCTCAGTTGCATTGTCTGCTAGAAATGCTTCATAAAATATATCATGATCTACCACATTCAAATTATCGTGTTTTTGTACAAACAGCTCCCAAGACACTTGAATGTCTCTTAAACCAGCTGGGGATCTGTCACTACTTGTCAACAAGGTTTCTAAGTCACTTGCGTTCTTTGCAAATGCAGTGCGCAGTACTTTACGACGTTTCTTATTTTGTTCCACGTTCTAATCCATGATAAACTTTGTTCAAAACAACACTCGTTTGACAAAACTCCAATACACAAATAGTGCGAAAGTTAATCACTTTGAAATCACAAAATCTCTGATCTAGTATGATAGTCCAATCAGTTGGACGTTTTGCCTGTGAAGTTTTAGGGGAATTTTGAAAATTGGTATATTGGTATAGATTTTGACGAATTTCCGAATTTTTACTTTGCCACCTCTTTTTTTTCCGGAAGTAGCCGCCATATTTGAAAAATGGCGCTCCAGAACAGTTTTTTAACGATATTTCCTTTCCGACTCACTTTACGGTGAAAATAGTTATATAATAAATTGAACTAGATCATTTCCTATAATTTATGTATCAACCTTTTTTCTGTGAAATGAATAATTTCGGCGTACGAGCGCCGCAAAGTCTACTCTAACATTCGTATTGGCCAACAAACTCATTTCCACACCACCATGAGGTAAAGCCCGTTTTTTTTAGTGATATCCCCAGTAGGTCTAAGCCACATGTGATGCACTGTTGACTAATTTTAGTGCATTCTCCTTCGCTTCGCTATCCCTGATGGACCAGGTTTTGCGAGTTCTCGTCTTCAGAACTGAGCAAAACCTCACCGATAGGAAGTTCTTCTAAGTTATTCCGATAGGGTTCTCTTCTCAGACTTCATCACCTTCTTCCTCGATCTCGTCGAAGGTTTGCTGAAGAACTGTCTCCATATCTTCCTCTTCATCACTGTCTTGCAGAACATCATCCGAATTGTCGCAGGTATCTACCATTGCAATTCGCGCAGATAACGGAGCAATTTAGTCCAGCCTTTCTGCATCTACAGACTCCCCGATATCCTTTTTTACATTTACAAGAAATTAGTTTTAGCAAGTTTGCTGGAGCTACTACTTAAACAGATGGCGAATAGAATAGTAGCAGTTCAAGTAATGAAAATAGTGGTATTAATATGAAAAGTATTAAACAATTTAAAATAACACTGAAACAAGTCAATATTTTGCTGAGAATAATGACAATTGCTTTAATCTTTTTTATTTTAGAAAAATAACTGTTTTTAGTACTTTTTTGGCCCAATCTTTTTCTTTGCTTATTTGGGCATTTTGTCACCTGTAAAAAATAAATTTAAGAATGAGATACTCTTTCAGATAATCAGCATTATTTTTTATTTGCTGAACCAATTTATTTTCACAGGAAAAGAAAAAATGAGGAATAAATAGTCATGTCGTGTGTAGAGTCTACATGAACTACCCGTTCATACAGTTCTACTCAGGTTCTTTTCCTCTTACAGAAAATACAACACGTAGGTATACACTATATTCGTTTATTACACAAAAGTAACGACCTTTTCAAAACTGTACATGGTTACCTAAATATTTATAATTTTTGACAACCTTTGTTAAAAAAAATAACAGGAAAAACAAAACTGACATTTTATTTTACAAAAACGAAGTAACCTTGGAACCAGTTATATAACGAGCGTTCAAATAAAAACGTGGTCGAAGTTGGTTCTGACACATTGGACGTAGGGAGTAGCTTATAGCGATCAACTTAACCTCATTTCTCAACGAGCTGTATAGCAGCTGTCAGTTTCAATAACGTTAATGACTATATAACTTTATTTTAAAGAATAATCGTGATAACAATAACAAACAATTAAAGGAGCTGCGGAAAGTGTCCCCCTCCTTGTTATAACAATAAATTAAAGCAGCTGCTGAAAGTGTCCCCCTCCTTGTTCCAAGCACTTTTCACACCTGTTCCTCAAAGAATTAAAGACATTTTCTAAGATGCTCGGGGTATTGTTAATTTCACGAATCTTGTCTATAAGTCGAGCCTGCAGATGGTTTAAATCAGGAATAGGCAGTTCAAAAATAGTGTTTTTAAGGTAAGGCCACAAAAAGAAATCACACGGCGTAATATCACATGACCTCGGTGGAAATTCATGTTCAGCATTGAGACTTATTAGTCGATTTTGGAAAACTTCCCTCAACATATTCATCGTCTCGCCTGCCGTATGTGCCCTTGCGCCATCTTGTTGAAAGTAAAAGTTTGTAATTTCGTTTTCTTCCAGCTGGTTAACAAAAGGAGCGATAATTTCTTCTCTATACCTTTGCGCAGTAAGAGTACCATTAAAAAAAATAGGTCCATAAATCCTCCTTCGATTGAGAGCACACCAAACTCCAATTTTTTGAGCGTGTAGAGGGCCCTCGACAAAAAAGTTATCTGGTTTTTCAGAAGACCACATTCTCATATTCTGTGAGTTTACGTAACCACTTAAATGAAACCAGGCTTCATCAGAAAAAAAGGTGATATTATGAAGTTCACCGTAGTTGTTTAAAAACCATTCACAAAATACAGCCCGTCGCGGAAAATCAACTTCATGAAGTTCTTGCTGACAAGTTAAACGATAGGAGAACAAACGCAAATCTTTTTTTAACACTGTGTGGCAGGTACCGACTGATACTCCCACCATTTGTGATAAAACACGTACAGAAGTTCTTGGCGCATTTTCCATTATTTGTTGGACATTTTCTTTTAATTCTTCAGTCCGCTTTTTAGGTCGGCCGCTTCCTTCTTTTCTTGTTACACTGCCCGTTTCACGAAAAACATTAACACAACGCTGAACTGCACTTTGAAAAATTTTGTACTCAACAACGCCGGGAAATTGATTTTGAAATTCTATGAAACATTCCTCAATAGAATACTTCCATATTCCATCAATCTTGCGTCCATTTCTAAAGTAGGACTCTATGATAAACACTTTTTGTTCTTGAGAAAACACCATTTTAAACGCTTTTTAAAACGAAAATATTCAAATTGATAGCGGCGATATAGCGCTTTGACAGATGACGTTTAAGTTCATTTGCTATACGCTACGCCCTACGTCCAAATTTTCAGAACCAACTTGACCAGTTTTTATTTGAACGCTCGTTATAAATACTGTAACAGATGTCTCCGACAAGTCATTACCATTCTAATCTAGTTTATTGTAACTCTATGTACTATTTGTCTTTATTAAATTTATATATAATCATTGTTGGAAGATGTATAATATTGATGTATTCAACGTTAAAATCCATTGAAAATACATTGTTCTTCATGACCGAAAAGATGTTGAAAATATTGTTTTTAAAATGTTTTAAGGAAAGATTACCAAATTCCTATGCGGATTGCACCCTCTCTCGGTCGGTCTGTGAAAAAGCTCCCTAATAGTTTTCTCTGATAATTCCATTCGTGGATCAGACGGGTTTTTGTTTGAGGATTAGACAGTTGTTGTCAAAAAATTATTATGATATATTTCATTCAGCAAAAATACTTTATATAAAAAATAAGTTTGTTGTTCTTCATCACATTTTAATTGTTCATATGCGGTAGAATAAAGTTGTTCAATGGTCTACGTCTTAATTTTGATTTTAAATAGGTTAGCGCTCATTAAAATGTCCATTACGTATGTACTCTGCAGTTGTGAGAAATAAATAAGTTTGTATGTTAAAGTGAATTTTACTATACAATCCATAAATTTAATATCAAGATCGAAGGCTAGTAAAACATTCTTACTATAAAGTCCAAACAATGGTCTACAAGCCATAAGTATAGCAATCATACATTGAATTCTAAATTATTATTATGTGTATTTTTTTGTGATATCCATCACCCTGTCCTGCTGTTGCTGGCTCCGATATTGTTGACTTATACTCGGAAAACCGTTTCGATGACGCTTAATTTCATTTAGGCTGTTCGTATTAGGAGTTAAAAGTAGTTTCTTGTCCTTATTTCTGCTTTGTTTTATGAGTTCAAAGTATTCTGTCTGTTTGATTATAAAGGCCCCGAGCTATAAATTCGGTTATCCATTTTTAAACACCCTGGTATACTTTGCAATTAGAAACAAATTGATATGTGACCATAGACCTTATAAACTACTGGACTCGCCCAACTGTCATTTCGCCTATATAAACGGCAATCGCTCAGACGTGTGCGAGAGAGATGAAGCTAGTAAGGGCTTAAGCTTCGTTCACAGAATTTCGACTGCAGCGCGCTACATTTAATTCAACCAATCATCTAGCTATACTCGATTCCTTACCCCTTTTTTCTGTTGGGCCGTATTCAAAGACTATAAAAATAATATAGATACCAAGAGACAAAAAAATTTCATTTTTTCCAGTAATGTAGGTATGTAAAAGGGTTTATTATATTACTGGCCTAATTACAATACATTTTAATTGTTTTAGCTATAATATTCCAAATAGTTTTTATAGTGCCTTATTTATTTATTTCTCCATTTATTTTCCTCATATCGTAAACTCGATCGGTTAAAATTACTGCAAGCTCTTCTGACGTAGTTGTTTCAAATATTTCATATTTTCTTGCTTTGCAGAACATATTATTTGAAGAGAATTTTTGCTAAGCACATTTCAGTTAAAACTTTTTCGTTATATTCGGTTTGGTGTTAAAAAATATTTTGAAGAGTAACACATTAAAGCGGCAAAATTTGGACGTTAAAATGATATTTTATTTTGAGGATGGGGGAAATAATATATTCCAATAAGTTATCATCGGAGACAACTGTACTTGGTCATTATTTTCAGAAAGATGCGAAAAGTATAAACATGTTGGTACCATCATAACTTCTTTCCTACCTATGAAATTTAATTTTTCCTCCACTTAAACGTCTCTTTACGCAATTTATCGCAGAACACGATTGCACCATATTTAGTTTTTACGAATCTTTCACATACTAAATCGCACAAAAATTCAAGAAATCAATCAATAATGTCAGTACATGACATTTACTTCAGTTTGTTTACGACATTTTGTACCGGTATACCCGTGTAACCATCATTTGTTTTACCGGTATTTGCCTCAACTAGCTTCATCTGCCTTGCACACATCAGCGCGATTGACCTCTCTTTCTAGGGCCAGTTCATAGTTTACTAGGTCTATGTATGTGACAGATAGCGGTATGCAAAATTGTTTTTTCAGCACCTTCTATTTGATATGATTTAGAAAGCGAGCACCGTAAACTAGTCAAAGGCTGAAGCTTTTCTCATTTTTTTCTCAAAAATTTCGTTATGCGAAGGCATACAAATTTCATATGGTTGGAAAGAGAATAAAAAAATCTATCAAAACATGCAAAAAAATTATATAATCCCATTAAAAAAAATATCGATGATGTCACCATTTATCTGCAGTGTGACGAAAAAAAAATGTGCGTCAGTATAAAGAAAATAACATCCCATTTAAAAATATATAGACTTTACAGAGTGTTCAAAAATGAGTAACCGAGTTATAGCTTGGGGTCTTTGTCATCAGGCTGTATGGAAAATATTAAATATTTTTTTGCAATAGGTTTCCAGCGAATTCTTTCTTACCAAACTGAGTATGTTTCTGAGAAAAGAATTATCTTAGCGCCACTAGGTGTTCAAGAGCTAATAAGAAATAATACACAATTAAGAAATACATTAATACTCTTATTAATTTCAGGTAAACTAAGGTCAAACCTTCTTGGAACCCACTTTACGGTGTATGATAATGGAGTGTCTCATCGGAAAGCAGCGGAAAGCTCTAACCCCCGACAAGAATTAGCTTCAATTATTTATGATACTAATGTACTAGGCTTCAAAGGACCTCGTAAAATGACTGTAATTATTCCTGGCATGTTAGATAATCACAGGGTATCAATTTATCCTCAGGATGAGAGTGAAAGCCTAATAGAATCATGGAAAGCAAAAAATATGAGTAACCTCATAGAACTTCATAATAAAACACCAGTTTGGAATGACGATACTCAATCATATGTCCTCAATTTTCATGGTAGGGTGACACAAGCCTCTGTAAAAAATTTTCAAATTGTTCACGATAGTGATATAGATTACGTTGTTATGCAGTTTGGACGAATAGCGGAGGATGTTTTTACAATGGATTTCAGATATCCATTATGTGCTTTACAAGCATTTGCTATCGCATTAAGTAGTTTCGATAGTAAGTTGGCCTGTGAATAATCACGGAATTTTTTAATGTGCCTCTAATATATTTTTAAAATTTTTATGTAAATTAATTAAAAGTATAAATTTTGTATTTGTACCACATAAACTGATAGTAATTTTAGTGTGAAAATTCTAGCAATACTGTGATATGGGATTACCTTATATTATTAATGTACCCATGTATGTGCATAAATTTGTGAATAATACACTGCTTTTTATTTAAAACCTATTCGAAGATTTCATATACAGTATGTCCCAGTGGAATTGGATAATTCAGATATTTGGGTATTTCAAACCGCAAATATTTTAATCACTTTTTATCAATTAAAGGAGAATTTTCAACCCAAGCACGGTTCGGCTGAACAAAGCCGTCACGGATGAGGCCTCTCTCGTTGGATACACCAAGTTCGAAGTAGCCCTTTGCTAAACAGTTTTTGCTCTTGTTTTTTTTTTAATCCATTAACTCGATTACTGTCTGGAGGAAAAGCTAGCTCCGGGAGCGATGTTTATTTTCCCATAAACATATGAACATTGATTAAGTTCCTGTGTTCCTCTTTTTTACTGCTTAAGGCATGTTTTTACTGCTTTAGACCCGTTTTTTACTGCTTTAGACCTGTTCTTGCTACTTTAGACCTGTTCTTACTACTTTGGACCTGCTTTTTTTTACCTCTTCTCTCTCTCTCTCTTACACCTGTTTTAGTCCGGTTTTTACAGCTTCAGACCTGTTTTTTAAGCTTTAGACTTGTTTTTTTACCGACTCCGGCCTGTTTTTTTACTGTTTCATATCTGTTTTCACAAACACAGGTCTTTCAAAAGTGGGCCTGAGCAGATTTCGTTTTTTCGTTGTTAAAATTGCAAGGTAAGTATATTATTTTTTAATTTATATTAGAAACAGTTCTCAGCATAATTTCTTATATAAAAGTTATCAAAATGTTGACAATCTACATTGAGTGCGTTCCACTAAGCGTTCACAACGCTAAAAATATTCCTTCAGCCGTTCCACATGACGACGTTATGGTCGCGGCGAAAACGTCACTAATGACGTCATTATTTCCGCTCACGCCAAGCTCACAACGACCCATCTTTGGTCGAAGTGAACGTTGAGACGTTCGGCGCAATTTTTTCATACTTAAATATGGCGACAGAAAAAATTACTTTGTATGATTCGGAACGAGATATTTTAGTGGAAGCTTATGTTTCTCCAGCAGATTACTTTCTCATAATCAATAATACGTGGCCTATGTTTTCGGTTTTCACGATCGCGATTTTGTAAAATTGCTTTCCACTCTTCATCTGAACTAGATGAAGTAGAAGTATTATTGCGATGCACCAACAAATATCCAACTGTCGCCGTAAAAGACATTTTGGTTATATTTAAACGTAAATTATTTAAATACTCCACTAAAATGAAATATAACAAATTAAATTGTAAGTATATATTTTTTTTATATAAATAAAGTTAATCAATAATTATCAAAGTTTATTGTTAAGGCTTACAAATTGTAAAGTAACCTCCATAGATTAGAAAGGTAACCTCTAAGCTTCTGTTTATAATTTTTTCAAAGTCGCCATTTGTAATGTTTACGTCAACGCTTAAAACGTTACAGTACCCATTCCACTTGAAATTATGATTGTAACCAATTGTAACGCTCGCAAGCAAGTGTAACGGAAAAAATCGCGGTCGTGCGCGTGATTGTTATGAACGCTTAGTGGAACGTAGTCATTATATGTTCATTCGCATATGGCATATATCATATCTAATTTTCTCAAATTAGTTTATGTTAGGTTGGTACTGCAACGAAACTCCCGTGCATAGGCTTCCCTCCCGTACCGCCTGTCCCGCAAGAGATGTATCGAAGCTCGTTAACATCAATTTATTCTAAACAATAAATTTACCATTTAAATGGGAAGATCTTACTTTACTTAGTTTCATAGAAACATATCAGAGGTGGAGATAGTACAAATTTAATCCATTTTCAAGTACGGACTTCACATGGTACTATACATACAGGGTGACCCATTAAGAATGGAAACACTCGCGTACAAAAGTTGTTTATGGACCGATTTAAACCGGTTTTTTTTTAAAGATAGATCTCCAAAAGCTCTATCTTGATGCAAAATTTGAAGATGAAATTTTGATTTTCAAGGCCTACTACGAATTTTTTTTTAAGTGAAAAATAGCAAAATTTTGTTAGCGATTTTTTTATAAAAAATCTGACTGCACCACTACATTTAGGAACCCCTCAAATGCATTTGTATCAATTTTTGCGAAAAAAGTGCCCCTAAAAAAGTTATGACAATATCGGCATCACCAGTGTTTGCCGTTGTCGGTGAACCTATTTTATAAAAACCGAATAAAACCCAAAGGGAAACCAAATTAAAAAACAAACACTGGTTTAATGATTATTAATAAGAATCATAAAAACCAGTATACACAAAATAAACAACAATCACTTTAATATAAACAACAATTGATAAAAAAAATAATGATTAAAAAATTACATTTTTAAAAATGAAAAAGGGGTCTGTCAAATTGATTTACACTAATCACGTCATTAAATTAAAATTTTTGTAGCTTCCACTAATCCTCCGTTTAATTCTATACATTTTTCATAACGTTTTTTTATATTTTTTACATTTCGTAATTGATGCACGTTAATCTCCTCACACGTTTCCCTTATTCTAGTGCACAATATTTCCCGGTTATTTGGCCGTGACTTATAAACTTTGGACTTAATAAAGCCCCATAGAAAAAAAACAAGTGGGGTAAGGTCCGGAGATCGAGGTGGCCAATGAATTAATGGACTATTTCGACATATCCAAATGATTGGGAAAATTCTCGTTAAGTCACTCCCTGACTTGTCTCGCATTGTGTATTGGACATCCATCCAACTGAAAATATAGATTTATTCTTTCTTGTAATGGAAGATTATCGTCTGCATTAAAAAATTTGTTCTGAAGGAAATGTAGAGATTGTTCGCCATTCATATTCCCTTCAAAGAATTACGGACCAGTGATTCTCTCGTTAAGTATCCCACACCAAACGTTAACTTTCTTGTCTTCGGCAATTAATTATCCACTCTGGATTTTCTGAAACCCAACACCACGAGTTCTGTGATGATACAATTTCATTTGTCGTGAATGTGGCCTCATCGCTGAATAAGATATTTAAAAAAAAATCGGTAATTGAGATATTGTCCCTGTGCCCAGAGACAAAACTCCATTCGTTATCGCCCGGCTCCAGAGTGTGAAGAAACTTAGGTTTATAGGGTTTTGTTATTTTTTTTAGGCAAAGGCGGATACTTTCTCTAGGTAAATTTAAATCTAAACTAGCAATTCTGAGGATTGTTTGTAAAATAATTTAAAATTTCCTGCTCGTGAATACGTCTTCTCTGTTGATTGTCCCTTTTTAAAATGCATTTTTATCAAATATTAAAATCCGATAGCTCCGTCTGCGTCGCACGATAAGCCCGAAAAAGAGCCGATTTCCCGGACGATAGGCTCTTTCCAGGGGCCTCGAAGAGGCGGGCGTCTCGGCGCGAAGCGTCGCGACGTCCTTCCCGCGTTGCGACGTCGTATTTAGAACGCGTTAACTCGACGCCTTCCCCGTGAATTTTTCGAATTCCCCAGGCTCTGCGAGGGGCGCGGCCCAATTTTTGTGTGAACGGCGATAGTCCGACACGCCCTCCCGCTGAAATCAGACGGTCGCCGATCGCCTGGAATCGCGCGCGATTACGGCTTTTTTATTTTTTATTTCCCCCATTTTCTACGATATTTCATTTAAAACCGTGCCGAAAATACTCATATTCATCGACCGGGTGCCTTCTTCCAACTTTTTATGTACAACTTTCCGCGAAATCAAACGCGGGATTCGAAATGCGGCCGTAAATACGTTAAAATGCTCTGTCTAGGAAGGCCGAAAAATCTGAATTTTGCCCTATAAAATTCCTTCTCCGCGAGCCTCGAAACGGCGTGCGACTTGGCACAGATACTCAGTCGTTCCTCCTTAGTCGTTCGGGGGCATTTTTGTAACGTTTTTTTCGCGTTTTCATATTTAATTTTGCCTTCTTTTTGGGGTCTGCTCGACGACAGACGACCATTTCGCAAGCCGTAAGATTGAAGCTTTAAGACACGCCCACCGGGAGAAAATTGGAACGTCGTTAGAAACGTCAGATTAATTATGTCAAAATAATTTCACGCCAAACGCGAAAGACGTCTGTGGGGTCGCGGCGAACCGTTATTTTACCTTACTAGGCCTTTTTTAACCTTGATACATTGCTACGCCACGACATATACAGGTATTTCTTATTATTAGGTTAGGTTGTTATTTACATTTTCGTAGCTCTACCGTCTGACATGCCTACGATTAGGATACCTGTCGCCCGAATTAACGTAAGTACTTGCCCTCTAAAATTGCATAATTTTAAACTAATCCATAGTACCTAAACCCTTTCTATTAGTACATTTGCTTCGTTAGTTACCTACTATACATTGCATTGCATTAGTATTACTTACTCCCCAAACATCAAAAGTTGCGAAAAATTATAGAAATAAATTGGGGCTAAACTACTCTTCCGAGTCATGGGATGTTATTTATCTGTTTTATCCCATTGTGGATCTTTTGCGAGACGACTTTGTGTTAGAAAAATGCAAATTTAACATTACAAAAATTTTTAATTACTTCAGCTGTGAATGAAAATTAAAATATCAATATAGACGGATCGTTGGAGAAGCAGTCGATAGCGCATTGGTAAAAACGGCCCGTTGTATTCGTTAGGTCGGGGTTCAATCTCAGACGAGGTAACCTAACATTTTTTTTTTATTTAATGCCGCAATTTAATTTTATATATGGACTCATCTTTTTAAACCATTCTGTAACAAAAAAATACAAAATTTCAAATAGGTTTCCATATACAGGGCATCTAAAAAATTGCGTTAAAACTCGAACAGTCCAGAGGCTCATATACCTATTTCAGTTTATTGATTGCAATATTTTTATGAAAAATCTGATATCGTAGTAATCATATGCTTTCTACAAAGGTATGTACCGAATGTTTCATAAAAATGACACAGGTGAACTTTGATTTTACTTAACTTTTCAATTTTCCAAATTTTTTATTGAAATATTTACATGAAAAGTTATATAGTTACTAACCAAAGGGTTTTTTTGAAAATCCATATACTGCATGTTCTACATAACTGACCC